GCCACCATGCCCGGCTAATTTTTTCTATATATTTTTAGTGGGCCGATTAATTTCTTTCTAATTTTAGTAGAGGCGGGGTCTCGCTCTTGCTCAGGCTGGTCTGAACTCCTGAGCTCAAACAATTCGCCCGCCTCGGCCTCCCAGAGAGCTAGGATTACAGGCGTGAGCCACCGCGCCCGGCCCGTATTTTGGATTGTAGCACTTACAAAAGTTTTGTAAGAAAAGTCAAGCAAGTACTAGTAGTGATGTTTTATAATGTGAGACCAGGCTTTTTGGGAAGATGAATGACTTGCTCAGGGATAAAGAGCTTTGAGTATTGACAGGTGCTTTCTGTTTTGACTCTCAGGAAGAAGTAAGGGGAACTAGTGCCATACTCTCTTTGAACTCATACCCCATGTGAGGAAATTGTCGAAGAGGTTGAATCACCTAAAGAGTTTAGAGAGAGTTTGGATTTCGCCCAGATCTGTCCCCTTTATCTTTTATCATTAAAGATAAACTTTAAACACAGACTTGTATCTGTTTTCTTTGTATCTGGGAGGAGGTGGGATTACTTTTGGGCATTCATTTTACCTCTTAATCCTTAGGGTTGAATTCAACTGGCCAGATGGGGACATTATTAGACCAGTGATTCTAGCTGCCTTCTGACCTTTTCCCAGCTCTTCCTTTCACCAAAAAGAAAGCCAAGGGGAGGAGGAAAGGGGAAAAACAACTGTCTACCTCTATCCCACATGAATTAAGTGTTCTTCCCTCTTTTCTGAAAGTTTGTTATCTTGTCAAGCAAAGACACATTTATTTCTCTTTTCATAGAACTTCCCTTCTTAGATGAGTTTGCCAAAATTTTTCCAAGTATGGGACTATTCTTTATTTGCCTGCTGAATCCCTTTAATACTTCCTCAACACTCTCTCACTCTAATTCATCAGTAGGTGATTATCACAGCTTTACTGGCCTATTTCTTGAGTGGTTTCATCTGAAATATGGATCTTGGGCTCTTACATGAATCTGGGAATTCGAAAAAAAAAAAGTAGATTCATTCTAGTCTTATCCCCTTCGTCTACACAGATGGTTATATGTCTCAGAGGTTGGGATCTAAAATTAAACTACTGGGAATCAGATAGCTTTGGACCAAATAATCAAGTCCAACATTTTCATTTTACAGATGAGACATGAAACCAGATTGGTTATTTTCCTCTCTTTTCTATATAGCTACCAACACAGCTATGACCAAAATCCAGATTACCTGATCAAAGCTTATACTACCGGGCTTCTATCTGATGTTTCATTGAATTGTGCCAATGATGCCATTTGCACTTCAGTGGGGGCTGAAGAATTCAATCCTTAGGCTACATAGGGTTTTTAGCGTGGTTGGGATTTACAGCCTCTCAGAGATTACCTCCAGGAGGTGGTCATTCTTTAAACTCCCACAGCACTCTGAAGTCAAGGTCATGCAGATATCCTTCTGGGACCAAGTTTAGTTTCTTGGCTATTTAGGGGCTCCAGGAATGGAAAATGTGACTCAGGTATTCTTTCTCTGACTGTTGAGAAGCAGCGAGTATAGTATAGAGAGTTCATGAGTCCAGGATTTATTACTTGGCCTTGGGCCAAATTATTTAACCTTTCTACAACTTAAGTTCTTCATTTGTACTGTGAGAATGATAATAGTACCCCTCTCTCAGAATTATTGTGAGGATTAAATGAGTCAATATTCATAAAATGCTTAGAATAGGAAGACCCAAAAAAGGGCCATTTCCAGAGACTGCACTTCCAAGTTAGATTTCTTTCACAGGTCCCTTATTTTTAGTTAGAAACTTTCCCCAGGGGAATTTCTATGTGTCTACTGTATGTGTCACATACACAAAAACACATAATGCATATAATGAGCTTATTTGAAATATAAAAACACTACATTTTGAGACTCTTGCACTGCACATTATATATACATTAGTTGATTATAGATAATCTCATATCAAATTGGCACAGTTTAACAATTATTAAGGTGTTTTTTTTTTAGAGACAGGGTGTTGCTCTGTCACCCAGGTTGGAGTACAGTGACATTATCATAGTTCACTGCAACCTTCCAGGAGAACTTCTGGGCTTCCTCCCACCTCAGCCTCCTGAGGAGCTAGGACTGCAGATTCACAGCACCATGCCCAGCTAACTTTTTTATTTTTTTATAAAGGTAGGGTCTCACTATGTTGCCCAGGCTGGTCTTGAACTCCTGGCCTCAAACAATCTTCCCACCTCAGCCTCCCAAAGTGCCAGGATTACAGACATGAGCCACCACACCTGGCCTATCATTAAGATATTAACGAGCATGAGATTGAACCCTAAACCTCTAATGGGCCATATCCTTTGAACTCTGTCCTAGTTCTTTCTCTGTTCAGGATATTTTGCCTACTTTTAAGTATCCCATGTTTTAATGGATCCAGTGAGACAATTTGCAAAGATCTTCAAATTTCAGATCTTCCTGGTTTCACTTTGCCTCCAAAAATATAAACATTTCCTAACCATATCTATTCTCCAGGATGGAATTTGACAACCCAAAATAAGTCACTGAGGCAAATATCTCAATCAATGGAGGTTTATTAAGCCAAAGTTGAGGACACGTCTAGGAAAAACACAAACTACAGACAAATGTGTGGCTGTTTTTCTGAAGGGGAATTCGGAAGTTTCAGTATCTAAGGGGAGTAGGGCATACAGAAAGGAAAAAAGAAAGCAAGGGGTGGGTGGGTAGTGAGACAAAATGGTTACATTCTTGTGAGACCCAGGAAAATCTACATATTACATAAGGTGAATGTTAGAAGAGAAAAAGGGAGTGAAAGAAGCATCGATTATGTAGATGTCCCTGCGTAAGTGGAAGAATGTTGTTGTCATGTCTTGTCTGTGTTCTGCACCTGGGAAGATAAACATGTAATTCAGTACAACAGACTTTAATTGTAGGAACTAGAGTTAGCCTGTAGACCTCAAGTTACAATCTGCATGTCTTTGCTCATGGGAGCCAGCAGGGAATTTTCTTAATGGGGAATGATCTGTGGGGCCAACTTTACAAGTTGAATGAATGGTCCCAGCTAGCACTTTGTTCAAGCAACCTAGAGGGTGTTTCTCAGGCTGTTTTTGGACATTCAACTTGTAAAGTCATATGAAGTTATTAAAATACAAATACTGGGGCCCCATCAGATTTACTAAGTCCAAAGCAAGGCTAATTATATCTGGAGTAACAGTTTCCATAAGGGAGGGAGTGAGTGTGTGTGTGTGTGCGTGTGTGTGTGTGTAACCTGTCTTCTGGAATTCAATTTTAGCCCTGTTCAGTTACCCATTTTCTCCAGCCTCTCTTGCCACAGCCCCTGTGAGAGTTCATCCTAACTTTTCTATAGATAAAATCATTGAAATTGAGCTTTGAATAGTTCTGTGTCTTCAGCACCAACAGCCTTCTGTAAAATCATTTCTAATCTGCAGGAATCCAGCATGCAAATTGGACTTGATCACCCAGTTGGAGGAATAACAACTGTAGATGCTGGATCTTCAGGGAACAGAAGAGGGGAGTTTCTAAAAATACATGTATAGGTAAGTGGCATCATAAAAAGATGACCAATTTGATATTTAGGAGACAAGTTCTAGTATAACCCCTTGCAATTCACTGAGTGACCTAGGCAAGTTACTCAATCTGTTTTCTATCTGTCAGATGAGCAAGTTCAGCCTAGATGAGCTCTGAGTTCTGTTAAACCTGTGATACTCTGTGATTGTAGACTTCTTTAGATAAATACCTAAACTAATCAAAAGAAGGGTTGGGGGTCAAATGGGGATAGCAATGTGGTAGTTATCATTTCTGAAATTCTTGTTCTTTCTCAATGCCAAGAAAATGGTTGCATTCAAGCTTGATAGAGTCATCCTTTTTGCTTTTTTTCCCCTTCACTTGAGAGTCTTTACTCTTCTCATCCTTCTCCTTGCTTTCATATTCCATGACTAATCAGCTACAGTAATAGGTCATTTTACCTTTTAATCCCCTACTCTGCTCATCAGCAGGTATATCTGTTCACTTCCATTTTTTGGCTTAGCATATTACCCATTCCTTCCTGCCATATTCTGTTGATGTCTCTGTGTTCACCATGCCCACTACAAAAACTGCCTCTTATCTCTTCTGGCTTTGTTCACTTCTCTTCCACCATCCTGCCTCCCACTTTTTTTTCCTTCCCATATAAAGTTGCTGATGTGCATGAATTGCATATTAGTTGTCTTTTTCTCTGCTGGTTTATTTTCCTTGCTCTCCACACTAGAAGCAGGTGACATCTGCACTTTAAATGTCTTCCAGATAGGAAGATTTGAACTGAACCAAAGCATCAACGCCAATCATGATGTTTCTGAAGAATTAGAGTTTTCAGGGTCAGCAATGGAAAGTCTCAGAGGGAATACTTCCCAGGGTCCTACAAATGAAGAAGCCTATAAAAGTGAGGGCCAGTTATCAAGGCGGACAAAATGTCCTGCACAGAAGAAATCATCTTTTGAGAAAACAGCAATCAGAAAAGTGTCAATGACACTCAAAGAAATTTTCACTGGGGAGAGAGGTCCTGAATCCAGTGAATTTAGTTTAAGTTCAAACCTTGACACACAACAGAAGATTCCAAAGGGAGATAGATCTTCCATATCTAGGAAAAACTCCAAAGACATTTCAGACTTAATTAAAGACCAAAAACTCTTCCCACAAAAGAAACTTTATAAATGCAATGAATGTGGGAAAGCCTTTGGTTACCAAACAGACCTTCTTGTACACAGTAGAATTCATGGTGGAGGAAAGCCTTTTGAATGCAATGACTGTGGGAAAACTTTCAGCCGAAGTACACACCTTATTGAACATCAAAGAACTCACACTGGAGAGAAACCATATGGATGCAGTGAATGTGGAAAAGCCTTTAGTAGAAGTACACATCTTAGTCTACATCAGAGGATCCACACTGGAGAAAAACCATATGAATGTAGTGAATGTGGAAAAGCCTTTAGCCGAAGCACTAACCTTAGTCAACATCAGCGAACTCATACTCAAGAAAAGCCTTACAAATGTCATGAATGTGGGAAAGCCTTCAGTGACCGTTCAACCATAATTCAACATCAACGAATACACACTGCAGAGAATCCTTACGAATGCAGTGAATGTGGAAAAGCTTTCAGTTGGATCTCATCTCTTATTGAACATCAGAGAACGCACACTGGGGAGAGCCCCTATGAGTGCAGTGACTGTGGGAAAGTGTTCAGTCGAAGCTCATCCCTTACTGAACATCAGAGAATCCACACTGGAGAAAAGCCCCATGAGTGTAGAGAGTGTGGAAAGGGCTTCAGTCGGAGCTCATCACTTATTATTCACCAGAGAACTCACACCGGAGAAAAGCCCTACAAATGTAATGACTGTGGGAAAGCCTTCAGTCAGAGTTCAACTCTCATCAGACATCAGCAACTTCACACTAAAGAGTAATGTGTGAGCTTTTATTAATGTTAGCACAAAAGCACATACACATAACCTCCCACAGCTGAAAAAAATATATATATATAAAAGAGATGACTTTAAAAACCTAACATTCAATCTAGTATTCTGAAGGGCTCCAACGTTAGATTATACAACTATCTGACACCTTGCAGTTTCTCACCTTGTCCCATGAAACTTGGGTCCCAGAACAAGCAGTGAATCCTTTGTTTCTCAACCACATCAGCCCCTTCGCATAAAGAGGAAATCCTTTGTGTGTGTGTTTTCATATTTGCTGACTCCTATAGCAGAAGGGAGGGACCTGGCTTCAGGCAGAACTAAAAATTTCTCAACAGTTTGGAATAATAGTGTGGACACAAATTCAGTCTCTTAACTTGTAAAGAAAGATTTTTCTTGTCTTCTTCTTTCCCCTACATTTTTTGCTGTAGCATTTTTCCTTAAAGTATAACCCACAGTTTTACTAATGTGCCTAACTAATCCTAGTGTTATTGTATCTTATCTTTACGAAGAATGTTCTGAAAATTTTGGAGACATTTAATTCCTCCATGATCTTGAAAAACATTGCTTCCAGTTGCTGCTCTGTTTTTTTAAAAAATCTTTTCTTTCATTTACAGACTTCATGGAACCTATACCCTCTGGCTTTGACTCTCACCCATCTTGGAAAGCTGATCTCTCATGGACAAACCTAGTGCTACTGCTCAGTCTTTTTCCTACTTGACATTTGCAGAGTTGGCACTTTTGGCCACTGTTATGCCTTACAACTTGAAGTTATTTAGGATCCATGATTCTGTGCTGATCCATACTTTTCCTACCTCCCAGCACTTCTCTGGTTTGTGATTTGGGGCAAAGGTTAGATTAGAATAATCTCATTTTATCAGGTTATAATACTTAATGTAATACAACTATATTATAAGCTTCTAAAAGACAGAAATCTTGTTTTTGATTCCCATAAAACATCACAAAGTGCTGAGTGGACACTAAATGTCCTGTAATTATTGCTTGCTGATTCCTCTTTATCCTCTGTAACCAGTCGGCTAGACTTTATTTGAAATGGCTTAATAATTGGTTACTTTCTATTTCTACTGCTGCTGCCAAGTTCTTGGTACCTTGGGCCTAGATTACTAAATGCATCGTTGTTGCCTTTGTCTCCCTGTCATTATCTAGCTCCTTACTAAACTACTACTTTGTTCAAAAATAGTCCAGTTTCCCAGTGTCCTCAGTAAAAACTTCAAACTCCCTTAACTTCAAGGCGTTTCACAGTTGGATCTATTTATTTACTTCCTATCACTTCCTAAAACAGAGACAGTGCATGTGGGCAGGCCTATCCTTTGTCCCTACTATATCTTCTTCTCACACTTGGTTTCTTTTTAGACTATTACATGGCACCCTTTTCCACATCCTGTTTCCTTCTTTGTATCTCCATAAATCCTACACTTTTTAAAAGGCCCTGCTCATGTCCTGCCTCCTCTGTGATACTTTCAGTCCCTTACCTCCTTAGAAATCCTTTGTAGTACTTGTTTGCATTATCTCCTGCATCAGACATTTTTCTGTTTTCAGGTTCTTTTTTCCATAAACTGTTTTGAGTTGGAAATCATCTTAAATCTGTTAAAAGCCCGATCTAATACATAGTACAATGCAGGCCTGGATTCTATTTTAATTGAAACTAGAAGGGTTTAATTTAATAATATAATCTCTTTAGTCTTTTGAATGGTGATGTAACCTCATAGAATTTTGGCCCATTTTGTCCTGCCTTCAATTATATGCATAACTAACTCTTTGGATGTACTCCTTTTGAGCTCCTGAGATGCTGGCCTCTTGGCAATCCACTTCATGGGATTGTTATAAGGAATAAATGAGTTTATTCATCAAAGTGATAAAAGGGTGTCTGATACATAGTAAATGCTCAATAAATGCTAACTGTTACGATTCCAGTGCTTCACATCTGCCTGTAGCCTTTCACTTCATCCTCTGCAAGGTCTGTAACTCCATTACCAGAAATGGAAAACTAGAATCACAATCCATTAAATTAGAAGGTAGTAAATATTCTATAGCATGAGGAACCTGAAAACATAAGTCATTTTGCTGAACAAGTTCTGAGAAGTATTCTATGACTTTGGCAACTGCAGCTCCTACTATTAAACATTTTGGATATGCCATGGCTACTGGATCCAATTGCAGGCTGTAATATGCTACAGGTCTATTTTTTCCTCCATTTTCTTGAGTGTGGATACCTAAAGCCTGATTATGTCTTTCATGGACAAGCAATGTGAAGGATTTAGAATAGTTGGGGAATCCTAATGTGGGTGAATTTTTCAAAGCCCATTTAAATTCAGTAAAGGCCTCCCTATATTTTGTTTTCTAAGGACAAGATTCCTGAGTGCTATTTTTAGTTAGTTCAAAGAGTGGAGAACCCAATAAAGAACAATTGGGCACCCAGGACATACAATTATTTTGCAAACTCAAGGAATCCTCTGAGTTGTCTCTTAGGCATAGGTCTAGGATAATTCTAGATAGTATTTAATCTTTCTGGAGATAGAAAGATACCTTTTTTAGATAAATCATGACCCATATAATGTACTGCCTCTTGTGAAAATTAAAGTTTATCTTCAGAGGCCTTATGGTCTTTATTTCCTAGTTGTTGTAACAGATAACAGTCGATTTCTAAGTCCTCTTTACAAGAAGAACAAAGAAGCAAATTGTCTACATATTGAATCAAGGTAGAATTTCTGGGAAATACAGGGTTTTAAAATCCTGCTGTAAAACTTACAAAAAGTATAAGGAAACTTCATTAAATTCCTGAGGCACTACTGTCTAAGTATACTGATCATTTTTCCAAGTAAAAGCAAACAAATATTGATATTGTTTATCTACAGAAATAATAAAAAAGGTAGAACACAAATCCACTATTGTGAACCACTTAGATTCAGTCAATACCCTTGCTAGCAAAGTGTTTGGATTTGGTAACACTGGAAATCTTGATATTACAACTTTATTTATAGCCCTAAGGTACTGTGCAAATTTCCATCCCTCTTCATGGGATTTTTTTGACAGATAAGATAGAAGTGTTACAAGGACTACTGTATGGAAAATTAGTCTTCAGTCTATTAGGTCTTCTATTATTGGAATGAGTCCTTGTATTGCTTCAGGTTTTAGAGGATACTAAGGTAATTTAGGAAATGCCATGAAAGGGTCAATTTGTATTTCAATGGTCTCAGCATTTAAAATTTTTCCTACATCTGTGGGAAAAGATGCTCATAAAGTATCAGGAATTCCAGACAGATCTGTGACATGTAAGATTCCATGGAAATTATTGGTTTCTTCAGGGCAATCAGTTTGGCCCTGGAGGACACATAATGTTTCATTGTGTAATGGATCTAGAATTATTATTACTATTATAATAATGAGTATCTGGAGTTATATCTTCTGAGGAAAAATTTATTTCACCCACAAGTTTGGAGAGCAGATCTCTCTCTGATAGATTTATAGGGGTAGTATCAAATAATAGGAAGGCATAATTTTTGGAAAAAGGACTAAGGATAACAGTTCTGGGCTCCAAGAAAGAGACTCTTTGAACTTGATTAGAAACTCCCTCCATGAGATATTTTCATTACTCCAAGGAAGTTATTCAAGAAAGTATCATGGTGGGGTATAAAGTAGAAAGAGTTGCTCTAGTATCTACCAACACAGTACAAATTTCTCCATTTATTTTAAGCTTGCTTTTCCCTTGTTAATTTAAAGGAATCATGAGAAGTAGCTTCCTACGCAATTCCTCAGACCCTTGCCAATGTTGAGAATTGTCAAAAGTATATGAGGTTTATTCTAATTTTCTCTTATTCAGAAGGGGACCCTTTTTCCCCAGTGTTCCCTCTGTTTATAGTAACAACGGGCATCTCTATCAACAGGGGCAAAATTGGGAGTAGGTTTCTGAAAGCTAGGTTGAGGTGTCTGCAACTGTTGTAATTTTAAGGCTGTTAATTTGTTTACCTAATGGTTCCATTTTTGGTCTACAGTCCTTTCAAAATGTTGTGCTAGATGTTGTAGTTCTTTTAGGGGAGTTATCTCTCATTCTAATGTACATTTCCTTAGTAGTCACTTATTTCTGTGTGCAGTCCATTAACAAAATGGGCTGAGAAAGCGACTCATCATTTTAGCCTTTAAAGCCAAAGTATTGTTTGAACACTTCCTCTAGGTAGATTCAGTAGTCTGCAGAAGATCCATTCTTTTTTTATTTATAAGATTGGATTATAGTTCAGTCTATTCTCATGGGGAATACTTCAGGGTTATCTTCTAATAACTGTTGGCCTGTTTTTCTGGACTTCATAATCCCTCTTTGGAGGCATGCCCAGTAGGATCTTTAAGATCTCTAGTTGGATTATCTCAGCAAGCTTTTTTCTAGGTATTTTCAAGCATCCCCTGTGCCCACCATCATAAGAACAAATTGATATGTATATAGGGAGCCCCGAGTCATATACCTCTAGAAGAATTTTTGATTTTTCTTTAAACTTGGTTTGGTCCTTTTCAGGGTCAGGGAAGCCTTATATAATAGCTCAAGGTTCTGCATGAGAACAAGGTTTAAATTCAGTTGTTGCAGGTTCTTCTGGTTCATTTGAGGATCTGATTTTTATGGGAAGCTAGTGTTGTGAGAGTTCAGACAGGAAGGATAAGAGATCAAAGGGTTAGTGGATTCAGAATAATCAGATAGTAGAGTGTAGAGAGGAGTTGAGGGGTTGGCAGCAGGGTCTGTAGAGTCAGTCTGAGTCTTAGGCTTTAATTTTTCATTAGCTTACCATAGAGATTCTATTAGAGAAGCTATTTTTGAATCATTCTGTCTTTTGAAAGCAGTTGCATGAAAGAATACATTCCATTATTTCTGAGAGGTTCAAGATCCTCTCTTTTCGAGGGTGACCCTAAGATGAACTATTTTGTCTAAGTTGAAAGTTCCTCAAAGTGGCTACTGCAATTCCAAATTGTCCTTTGTAAAGTTTAGCCATTTTTCCAAAAAGGTACAAGATCTTGATCCATAGTGGGTACAAGTGTAGGAAGCAGGGGGTTTTGAGAGAGGTGG